TAAAAAAACTTTTAGAAAGCGGAACCCAGAAACATTGAATGAAATTCTCTATATAATCTCAGAGTCAATGTAACTTCTTTCCACTCCTTGAAGAGCGAATGAATGAATTGCAACATTGTGAAACATGTCTTGTCATGTGCATCTTGCGGCTTTTCCAACAGCACCGCAAACAACTCTGGGAAATGTAGTTATTGATGCTCGAATTCCCCCTTTCCGTGCAAGTAAAATCAACCGACGGCACTACAATACCCATAGGTCAACACGGTTTGCTACTCTGAGCTGCGCATGGTGACCATGGCGTGTGCTATGACTGTCTGACGCAGGGTACAGGAAAAATATTGAAATAATTGCGCTGCGTTCTGCATTCACACTGCTAGACCCGGATATTTTGAAAACTGAAAATGGGGTCTCGGATAAAGTAAGGGTCATTTATTATAGCCTTTTCTGTACCACCAAAAAGAAATGCTATTCTTGGAATTCGTGGAGTGGCTGGTATTGCGAGGCCTCTCAATTCTAAAATGGACTTGTTGCGAAAAATAAGGGGACATGTTTATTGGACGCAGTTTGAAACAAATTACACCGCGTTTTGAGAAAACAAACAATGCTTTATTTTCACGGAGCATTTCACAGCCTTTAAAGGGGTTGCAGATAGAGGCTGTTAGGGTTCGCTGTGACTGGTGTCTTGAGTATGTAAACATTGCACAGAACACAGGGGTTATCTGGTCTGTTTTGCCGGATTTCTGTTTGTGTTTTTGGGCTGGGGCGGGGGCTGTTCTGCTGTTGTAACCTTGTAAAGCTGTGATGCATGGTCAGGTTTTGGAATTGCTCTAACGGTTTGACTGTGCATGTATGTTATATAACTGTTTAATGAAGGCACTGCTCTGGTATCGTAGCCTGAAGTGTTATGATCGTTCTTTTGTATCTGACTGAAGCTCCCATTGTGGAAGAGATAGGAGGTGATGTGCTTGCATATTTGCACACAGGGCAGTATCACCCAAGCTGTGCTTTATGATTAGCGTCCTTAGCTGTCTCCAGCTTTATAATAAGGATCTTTTGCAATTAGTTTGTACAGAATCAGAACTGAGCTATGTGTTACAGAGGTTTAAACATTTGTGTGTGACGCAAGTGAACTCAGATAATACTGTCTAAACGAATATGTCTGGTGTTGTAAGTTACAGTGTTGAGTAGCGTGTGGCGTGTGTTTCTGACCTCCACATAAAAGAATACATCTCTATAAAGTTTAAAACATAAGGAATTTCTGTATTCGCTTAAAGTGGCAGTGCACCTAAAAAGAAATGAACAATGATCATTCTCACAGTATGCAATTATGTTCAAATCAAATAAAAGTCTGTGAAACTATGTGACAGCAGTCTGGTTGTTTTATGTGATGGCACTCAACTGTGGTGGTTTGGCAGTAGACATATTGTCAACTTAATCTCTGAAAACAGTTCTTGGTCAAAGAGCAACGTAGTGCAGCCTTTTTCATTGTTCCTTGCCCTTAACTATATTTTTTTATAAAACAGTTTTAATAGTATAACATTGGCATGGGATAGTATCTGCTACTTTTTTGGTCACTTGGTTAACTGTGTAAAGAACCCGACACTATAATAAATAGTTGTTTATGGGACATTCTTTTAATTGGCAAAAGGAGAAGAAAGTATATAGCTTCTGGAACAATGTTCCAAACTTGGTTATTGGTAAAGTCTTGCTTTCTAATGGAAATGTCACTGTCAGGCTTTAAGCTATTGCTCAAAAACTTTGCAGTACTGCTTTAAAAAGTATAGGAAAGTAGACAGTGACTATTAACCTCATGTTTTGGCCCGATGAACCATCCCTTCCTTTAAACATATTTTAAGGAAACGGGAGAAGAAATTTGTCCAGAAGGATGTTGATCTATGCAATTTGCACACCTTGGAATTTTTTACAAAGAGTACAGTTTCTGTGGTTTTGCTGATTGCTCTTTACAAAACTATTTGTGCTGCCTTTTTGGAAAAAAGTTTCCTTTGTCTTTCATCTCAAAAAGATGCTCAGTGAGTGATTTGATGTAGCATGTTATTTAAAATTTGCAGTAAAGCAGAGTAAAATATGTTGTAGGTTTTTTTTGTCATATTTGGTTTATTACAGGCACAATCTTTTCTTTAATTCATTTTAGGTAAATTAAAAAGAGAAGCATGTACTGTAGGCTTATCTGTGCAAAACAGCAAGCACGTTAAGCTTCTCAGCTTTGGATTCTTGTTGGGTGTGTATAATATATAAGTACAGTCAAAACTGTTCCTTATTTTGCAAATATACGGTGTTTATGTTTACAGACTGAAAATGTCCATATCACACTTGTTTCTTCTTTTTGCTGATTCATGTCTATATCTGCATGGTTTGGGAATGGAGTATCGACAAAGTGTTTTGTACAGTCCTAAGACAATACAAGCCAGCTTCACGCCTAACTGTGCAAATATTATGCATGACATAATTATTGTTGTCTGTACAGTGGAGGTACTTTAGTTAAACTGTATGCCAGTTTTGGATCAATAGAAGTCTTTTATAGAGAAGTAGTGGTTACATAGAGTATTTTGTGTATTGTTTTAAATACACTTACAGTATTTTTAAATTACATGTATTGAATCATTGGAGGCACAGTGGTCTGGTAGTTAGTAGTGCTGGGGTCCTGGGTTCAGTTCCGGACCTGGGCTGCTGTCTGAGTAGTGTTTGTATGTTTTCCCCATTTTTTGCAAGGCTGCTCCAGTTTCCTCCCTCTGCCCAAAGACATACGGATAGTTTAACTGGCTTCTGGGAAAATAGGATGGACTGTCAACCCATCCAGGGCGTATCCTACCTTGTGCCTGTTGCTTGCTGGGATAGGATTCAGCTCCTGTATTGGATAAAGCAGTCAGAAAATGGATGCAGTAAATCACAAGTTATGATCATGAGATCACACTTAGCACAAACATCGTTAATAAATTAATGAAAACCTTCCTTAATTATGTGTGTTAAAGTACTGTTACAGTGTAGAGTAATACCCACATATATCTTTTTTTTTCCAGGGACAATCCTGAGACCACCTTTGAAGTATATGTGGAAGTGATACATCCAGGGTCTGCAGGAACAGGTAAATGCATTTTTGCCATAACTGAATGACTTTTTAAAAAAGGTTTAGCACTGCTTCTTTTATTATTTATTGTTCTAAAGTAATG